TGGCACAATCTCGGCTTACTGCAACCTCCACCTCCTGGGTTCAAGTAATTCTCCTGTTCCAGCCTCCCAAGTAGCTGAGATTACAGGAATGCGTTACCATGTCTGGCTAATTTTTGTATTTTTAGTAGAGACAGGGTCTCACCATCTTGGCCAGGATGGTCTCGAACTCCTGACATGATCCATCGGCCTCAGCCTCGCAAAGTGCTGGGATTATAGGCATGAGCCACTGCACCTGGTTGCCTGAACCCTATTAATCTGCTGATATTCGACCTACAAAAAGGGCAATTTCACATGGTTCAAAACTAAAAGTTTGCTATTCCCGGGGCATAAAGATTTAAAGAGTAGGCAAAAGACAAGGCTGGATAAAGAAGCAGGAATCAAATTGTGGAAAATCTTGTGAGCTCTGCTAAGGTAACAGGAAACTGCTGCTGAAAGTTTTAAGGCAGGGAAGCAACTTGGTGGGTTACATGTTTTAGTCAATGTGGTGGCAGCGTGGGGAGTGAACTTAAAAACAGAATACTGGTAAGCAAACAGACCAGTTAGGAGACTAATTGTGTGGCCTAGGTGAGTGAGACGTGGTAACAGAAAATTGGTTCCCAAATCTATGGGATGCAGACCACTGAGCAGGTAGTAAGAGCAACTGCAAGGGGGCCGCAAATCCATATGGATGTTAAGCACTGAACTAAAGAGAAAAAGGTTTCATACCTGCAAAAGCTACTTTTTCAAATGTCTGTAAATGTTGCCATAATTAGTAAGTCAAATTTGTGTGCAATTGTTACTGAATAGTAATTTTTAAAAATCACTGACCTGGGAGAAAAAAACTGACAGCACTTTGTGATTGTGAATTTAGAAGAAAACTATTTCATTAGAAGATTATACATATGAGGCCGGGTGCAGTGGCTCGCGCCTGTAATCCCAAAACTTTGCGAGGCTGAGGCGGATGGATCATGTCAGGAGTTCGAGACCAGCCTGGCCAAGATGGTGAAATCCCATCTCTACTAAAAATACAAAAATTAGCCAGGCATGGTAAGCGGAACCTATAATCCCAGCTACTCAGGAGGCTGAGGCAGAAGAATTGCTTGAACCCGGGAGGTGGAGGTTGCAGTGAGCTGAGATCGCGCCACTGCACTCTCGCTTGGGCAACAGTACAAGACTCTGTCTCAAAAAGAAAAAAAAAAAGATGATGATTATACATATGTGCAAATGTGTTTAAGGTTTAAGAAATAAGAGTAGAAGAAAAAAGCATGAATGGTTAGTACTCTAATAATAAACATTAACTCCCCATTTTGCAATATAATTACATCAGCCTTTAAGTTCTACTGTATTTAGGCTTCAATATTGTCTTCAAAATCGCATTTAATTGGCCAACCTATCAGTATTCATACTTCCTTTTAACTTACTAATGTCTCAATTTCTATGGTTCTCTCCAAAAACCTGAATAAGAGCACTGACTCTTCCTGTAAAAATTGAATATCTGGTTTAATAATCTATTTGTGAAATGTAATATAAATGCCAATTCATATGTGTTTCCATGAGGTCTAAAAAGAGAGAGAGAGAGATTTGATGGCCCAGCATACATCTATAAAAATCAACTACTGGTTCAGATGAGAAAAACTTTCAAAAATTTAGTGATACGAGGAAACATCATCTTTTAATTTGATAGCATTTTCTATTTAAGAAACAGAAAAGTTTAACTTATAAATCATCAGCCCTAACTACTTTAGTCCAGGATAATAAAAGAGATTTCCCCATCAACTGTGATGTTGGGACTACATAACTAACCAGTGTAAAACCGTACAAGTTAGAAATATAAGGTTATGTATGTCTTTATACTACTGGACAAAAGATACAATTCACATGACAATCAAGTTTTAAACACAATACACTTGATGACAAATGAAAGTTGATGAGTTATGTGGCAATTTAAAAATGTGACCCCAAAATTCTTTGACATTCCTCACATTAAGAGGTAGAAAATTATGCCCTTTCCCGTAGAATCTCTGTGATTGCTTGGCCAATAGAATATGGCAGAAATTATGCTATGCCAGTTTTTGGGCCCAGGGCTTAAGAAATTGTCAGCTTCCAACTGTGGTCTTTTGGGACACTTGCTCTTGGAGCCTAGTGATATGCTGACATGGAAAAGTCACATGTAGGTGTTCTGGCAGACAGTACAGCTGAGGTCCCAAATGACAGCCAGCATAAGATATGCATCAGATATGTAAGTAAAGATGCCTCCATATGATTTCAGCCACCAGTCTTTGAGTCCTTCTAGCTGAGGCACCAGACACCATGGTCCTGGCTATGTCCTAAGTTTTAAGGCAGTTTGCTATTCAACAATAATAACTGGGACAAATTTTGACAACTATGCTAATTTAATAGTTCTTAAGAAAAAGAAAAAAGTCCCCAAGCCCATTTTGAACCAACTCTGGAGTGCTAGCAGTCTAAGAGCTTCAAGCGTCATAATGCATTCCTACCTCTAATATGATAGCTCTCTATCTCTATGAAATTGTTCATGATTAATGGCCTCTTCATAGAAATTCAGAAGTTAAAACCTCTCTGAATCTGTTGTTCTACCTTAACTAGAAGATCCGATCTCTTGAGTAATAACTAGCTCTATAATACTGAGTTCATTTCCCTATGCATACAGTGTAGCACAGATTTTAAAAAGCAGTCACTCTAGAGTGAAACTGCATGGTTCTAACTTAATAACTGTGTGACATGAGTATGTTACTTAATCTCTCCATGCTAAATATTGTCGTCTAAAAAATGAAGATGTACCCAAAAAGTTGTGAGAACTGAGTTTATGCATGTAAAATACTTACAACGGCATGTTTACACACAACGGACACATTTTGTAAGCTATTACCGAGCACATTTCAGATAAAAAATAAGGTGAACCTTAATGACAATTCATTTGGTAAACATTAGAAATAAATATAAAGAGAATAAATTATATCCTTACTGAGTGAAAGCTGCATGCCCTCAACCACTTTCCGTTTTCCTGTAGATGGTTTGGATTTTTTACTCCGCACAGTTGACCCCCGGCTGCTGATTCCACTAATGACTGACATGGTGTCATCATCACCACCAGCTAGCAAAGAATTTCGGTAAGACATCAGTGGTAGCCACACATCCTCTCTTCGGAGTGACATCTGAAAGGTCATGAACTTTTCCAAGTAAACATACCTTGAAAAGAAATCAAAACTATTAGCTTTAATACAAAAATCTGCGGGTTATATTAACTCCTAGTTGTGTAAGCAAGAGCATATTACTTCACTACTCAAACTCAGCCTCATCAGGACATTAATGAACAATGTGGTCTCCGCCAAGATTTTCATAGCAAATGAAATAATTCAGAGCACTCAATTTAACATTTGCTGAGCACCTATTATGTCTCAGGCACTAGGGATAAATACAAAGATGGATATGATATGATTCCTACCTGCAAAAAAGTTGCGGCCTTTTGGAAATCATAAATCTACCCTTGGATCCAAGTATCTCAAGGCTTATATGTAATTTTGCAATCAAAATTCAACTAACATTCATGTGACAATTATGTGCTAGGTATTTTTTTCCTCATGTTCCCTAACTATTCTTACAGTTCTATGAGTGAAACGTTTTCCCAATTTTACAGGTGACGAAACAAAGTATGATAAATATTAAGAAGTAACCCCACAGTAATAAAAATATGTAGGCAGCAGAACCGTAATTCAAGTCCAAGGCTCTGATACCAAGAGTTCAATAAGGCTAAATTATGCTTCAAATAAATAAAGACAATTATTTGTCAATTAACTGTAAAGTAGAATTCAAATATTTGCTGTCTTTTAATGACTAATTTCTATCAATTCAGATTTACCAGTGTGAACAGCATTAAAGAGAATAGGAGACACATCAGTTACAAAACCTACTGCTTTGTTAGCTGTTCAGTATGCCTTTCTTTTTTCTTTTGAGACCAAGCCTCACTCTGTCACTAAGGCTGGAGTGGCAGTGGTGCCATCTTGGCTCACTGCAATCTCCGTCTCCTGAATTCAAGTGATTCTCCTGCCTCAGCCTCCTGAGTAGCTGGGATTACAGTTGCACACCACCATGCCTGGATAATTCTTGTATTTTTTGGAGACAGGGTTTCACCATGTTGGCCAGGTTGGTCTCGAACCCCTGACCTAAAACGATTTGTCCACCTTGACCTCCCAAAATGCTGGGATTATGGGTGTGAGCCACCACACCCTACCTCCAGTATGTCTTTCTGTATTACAATACACTTCAGTCATATATAGTAGTACAGTACTCCTCCAAGCATGGCCTGTGAACTGGCTATCACTCCAAAAACTGTTAAGTCTGCAACAAGATGCAAAGCCTGAGCCAAAATATATTCACTGGTAGAGAGATTTACAATTATGTACCCACCACATCCCTAAGAAGGATATTACAGATAAGTAGCCCACACTAAAGCGATCCCCATTTTGCTTCTTCCTCGTGTCCAGAGGTTACCACTACTTATCATCCCCATGCATATTTTGTACTTTTAATACATAGTTGTCTGTAAACATCATACAGTACACTTGTGTACTCTGCTCTTTATACTCAACA